TGCACTTCTTTATATTAAAACAACACAGGCTTTCAGTGATACTGAAGGAATATATTCATGGAGTCCCCAGGGTCTGACAAAACTGATCTACCAGCAGCTTCAGAAATACCAAGGGCTTACATTTGTGTGTCTTTCAGCCTCTGCTTGCTTGAACTAAGGTTCTTCCTTGGGGAGTAACTGAGTGCTGTGCTATTCTGTCCATCTGCTGCTTGAAATTTCTCTTAGGAGCACTCATTTCACTTCCGCATAACTTCCCTAATAACCCTCTCCTGTTGTTACCATTGGGCGTCATAAACTCGTGTGTTACGTTCCATGAAACACTGAGACGAGTGAGTGTCTGTCTCTCTGTGTGCATGTGTGTGTGGTGGTTGTGAATATCTACAGTTTTTGTAGACAGAGGGATTCTTGAGAGAATCTGAGGGTCAGGAGCCAGGCTGGGAAATGGTATTCATTTTGGCAGTCTGTGGAGCAGCTGCAAAAATAAAAGAAGCTTTTTAAAAAATAAAAATAAAAAGTGCACCTCTCATAGCTCTGCTACGATGCCCAGAATATTCAGGACCTATGAAAGGGCAAGGATGTCCACAGATGGAGGGTGGATGGGGTGGACCACTGACTAAAGCAGGGTAGCCAATGTAGCACCCTCCAGAAATTGTTGAAGTATATCTCCCATCATCTACTTCATGGATCGCTGCCTTGCCGTGGCGAAGGGGCTTGAATAGCTCAGAGAAGCTATGAGCTATGCCATGCAGGGCCACCCAAGATGGACAAGTCATAGTGGAGAGTTTTGACTAAACATGATCCACCTGGAGCAGGAACCGGCAAGCCACTTCAGTATCCCTGCCAAGAAAACTCCATGGGCAAAGGCTGATCGCCAAACAATTGACACTTTTGAATTATGGTGCTGGAGGAGACTCTTGAGAGTCCTGTGGACTGCAAGAAGATCAAACCTATCCATTCTTAAGGAAATCAAGCCTGAGTGCTCACTGGAAGAACAGAACCTGAAGCTGAGGCTCCAATACTTTGGCCACCTCATGAGAAGAGAAGACTCCCTGGAAAAGACCCTGGTGTTGGGCACAAGGAGAAGGGGACGACAGAGGACGAGATGGTTGGATAGTGTTCTCGAAGCTACCAGCATGAGTTTGACCAAACTGCGGGAGGCAGTGGAAGACAGGAGTGCCTGGCGTGCTCTGGTCCATGGGGTCATGAAGAGGCAGACATGACTAAACGACTACAAATCTCCCATCACCCTGATACTGGAAGGGGCTAATAGGTATTCAAGTTCAACAGCATCTGGATACCTTAGTTGGTTAGAGTGTGGTGCTGATAACATCAAGGTTGTGGGTTTGATCCCCGTATGGGACAGCTGCCTATTCCTGCCTTGATGATCCTCAAAGTCCCTTCCAACTCTACAGTTCTATGATTCTATTATTCTTTCTTCCACACAGTAAAAATTTAGTAATAATAATAATAATACTATAGTATTATTCCTGGTGTGTTTACAAATCAGTTAACTGGAAGGAAGCAAAATTGGGGGCAACATGATGCTTGGGTAGATTCTAGCAAATGGCCTGCATACCCTGACTTTCTCTCTGCATATTTAGAATCCTTTTTGGCATGATTGAATGGTTTTTCTCTGTTCCCTACCGGCTCATTTGCTGCTGATGCCCCCAAAACTTTGAAATAGCCATGCAAATCACAGAGTTCCTAATGTACTTGCAAACCTTAAAAAAAAAAAAAATCATCTCACACTTCTCCTAGCTCCTAAAGTTGCTGGGTAACCCCTAATTCTTCACACGTTTTGCTCTACTTGTGTTAGGCTAGTCATTGCTAAAAACAAAAGTTCCTGCAGGCCATTCTGTTCTCACCTTCAAAGCTGTGTGACTTCCTTTTCTTCCCTATTAAGTTACAAAGCTCAGGTGAGGTATTTGCGAGAGGGAGAGAAAGATCTGATTCTTTCACTTCTGATCTCAGAAACTCAACTAAAAAAGAGAGAGCGATACCATTTTGAACAGCAAAAACAGCTTGCTGTTTTAAGGAATGCCTTGCAAATGTAAATAGCTTTGTTGTCCTTCAAGCTCCACCCCACCACCCTTCCTGCTTCTGTGATAACACCTGTGATGGTGCAGGGTTTGGTTCTGGGGTTGAGCCCAAACAACCTTTCTAATGTGCTTCCTACTAATCAATGGGTCATTGGGAAGTATGAGCATACCCATAGCCTGAGCACACTTAAATGTCTTCCATGCATACTCCCAGTGCACACTGGATTACTTGGAGAAAGAGCTTCTGTGAGTGCTCTTTCATGTGCAAGTTTTAAAAGAGAGCACCCTTGACCCAAATCCAAAGGATAGGGCAACACTGCCATTCTAATCTTGCACATGCCCTGCCCTCCCACTTCACCTTTCTCATTAACATTTATTCCTGATTTCGTTTCTGCCACTATTTGCAGCCAGCCTGTAAGATTAGTTACCTCTTCACCAAGCTTCATAATTATCTTCTAGGGGTTTTTTTTCTTCTGGAAAAGCTTCTTCAATCCATGTCACACCATTTGTCTGCATGCATGGCTATGGGCCGAAATCAGATTTTAGCACACCAATGCAATCCATCCAAAACGTGAATGAATTCAACCCATGAAAGCACAAACAAATTAAATGCATTGCATTCATAATTTGCACACATTTATTTTTGAATGAACCTGACCAGTTAAGGAGACTGAAAGCAACCCCTGGTAACCTTTTTTTTTTTTTTAAAAAAAAGTGATTGGTAAAACATCCACTAGACACATTTTTAGCAGACCTTGAGGAAAAGCCAATTCTGCTGTGTAGAAACGTATGCAGAATCTGGAACTAATTCAGTGGTCTGGCTTGGACTCCAAGTGGAGCATACATGCATGGTGAGGCCTAGATCGTATCTCCACATCACATTAGACCTTACTATGCAAGTAAGGAGACTTCCTGCTCTTGAAAGATCAATAGCCTTTTAGACCCTTTGACGTGTGGGCAGGTGTCTCCATGTTCCTGAGGTCTGCTGGGACATCTTGAAACCCTTCTGGACTTCCACAGATGAGGTTGCCATGGAATTAACCCAATAACTTCCCCTTAGATTCCTCACAAACATCAAGGGAGATAACAGAGCTTGGTCAGGAGTAGGTTAAAGTTCAAACTGCAGACAAAGTTAAACTATGGTGTTTCCATGGAAAAGGTCTGTGAAATAATTCATCCCCCCTGCTTACCTACCATACTTAGATTATAAGCCCTCTGGGGGCAATAACTATGTCAGTTCTATTTTCTGGGTGGGATTCACCTAACAAGCCACATCAGCGATGGGGTTTTGCTCCCTCTCCTCTCCCCACGCACCCTCACTCCCTGCATGCTGGGGGAGGAGAGGGGGAATTATTCCCATCTGGCAAGCTGCAATGCCTGCACAGATGATACATTTGCCACAATGTGACGCTGAACTCCACCCTCCGTACATATCGGGGTAGGTTAATGATGTTGCCAAAATACACAATTTCCTGATCCAGAAGACAATCTTCACTAACTCCTGCTGTTCACTTCCAGCGGTCGGCAAGAATTATAGCCCCATGACAGGATTGTAATTCCAGCTGGCAATGCCTACTTACCTGGCACTGGAGACTTCCATTCCTTCCTCCCTGGAACTTTAAATGGTGCTGCTACAACATTCCAGGGGCTGAAATGCAGCTTTCCCAGGATGACTGAATCCTTTGTCTGTTTGACAGACTCCTTGGAGACCTCTGGTTTCCAGGGTGCCTAATAACCATACAGAGAGCTCAGAAGCCATAGGAAAATGACACTTCCCAAGGTCCCTGGCATCTGGGCATTGCCATAGCGGTGTTCCAACAGGCACCATGCCAGATATGTGAGAAGGGCATGGCCTGGCAAGGACAAGGGATAGGGGCATGAGCGCACCCAAGATTTATGTTGGGGGGGCAGGACTTTGTTGGGGGGACAGAACTGACGCGATTCGTCAGTTCGTTAAGTATTTCTGTTGTTTTACTTGATCATGGAGGCAGCTGCCCCCTGCCCCCTGCCCACCCCTTGGCTATGCCCATGGATAGGGGCTTGTGGGCTGGGGTTCACAAACAGCGGTGTGAGCTGCTTATACACTGTCCTGGTCACACCTTCACAGTGATGTAATTGAGAGAACAGTGAGATTAGAGTTATTTATCCGCTTAGCTTGTTTGTCACTTCACACAACTTACAAAATAATAATACAATAGGCAGTACAAAAATATTTAAAACCAGTGCTTTTTTCCTTAAAAAAATGTTTAGGGATACTCTCATTTTGACTCAAGAAAACCACCATTTTATAGTTCAAATCAGGAAAAATAAATACCGTAAATTGACAAAAGTTCAGATTCACAAAATGTTTAGGGGTATGCGTACCCCTGCGTGCCCCCGGAAAAGAAGCACGGCTTAAAACCTATACACAGTGGTAAACCAAACCATAAAAACAATCCTTATACCCTGCCTCCCACCATCAGATACCACCATTTGCCTACTGCAAAGGAAATTAACACTCAGAAGCTTGGAATAAGAGACATCTTCACCTGATTCTGAAATGATATCGGTGTTGGTCCCAGGAGAGTCTCCCTGGGCAGAGCATTCTATAAGTGGGGGCCACCAAGGAAAAGGCCCATTCCCTTGTTGCCATCCTTTACTGCTGGCTGGGGTTGGGCCTCCTTTTGAAAGGAGTTCAAAATTGGGCTTAGAATAAACTATGAGTTATTTGCTGGTTTCCCATTTCCACCCGCCGAAAGAATAGCTGTTTTCCAAACCCAGTTCCATCGGAGGCAGGAGGGCCACCCATTTCTAGTACAGCTGGAGTTAAATGCACATGAAAGTGTATTAGGGCTTGAGAGTGGCCTGCAATGGTGTGACTGGTGCCAGTCACTAAGTGGCATTCCGGGGCTTGCCTTGATTAGATCTGCACTGTAGGCTGCATGTGTATCAGCCCCCATAAGCTACTAGGCAAATCTCAAGGTCATTGGGTCTAAAGGCAACTGTTTTCATGGATTCAAGGGAAGGAACTATCCTGACTCGAATGCACTTTACCCAGTGGTTGAAAAAGCCCACTTTCCTTTAACTCCCAACAGCAGCGGAAAGTGAGCTGTTTGAAGTAGCAATATAATCACAATGAATAATTCATCTTCATTTTATAGTCCCGTCCCCCCGCCAAGGTGCTCAGGGCTGTAAACATTCATGTGAGCCAACATGAAAACAAGAACACCATATAGTCCCATGAAATTAACTAGCGCTGCACCAGTTTTCTTCCATGCAGAAGTTGCCTTGGAAAATGGGAGGAAATAAAAGAAGCTTTCCTTTCTAACTTTTGCACAGGTTTTGACTTTTTAGCCACAGTCTTCCACATCTTCCATTTTTCAATAAATACTTCAAATGGCTTATTGGATGAGAGAGCCCAGCCAATCATGGATCACGTAGGGAACACAGGCATCCTCATACTGCCATCAAATGTGGCAGTATGAGGATGCCACTGAGGGCCGAACAAAGCTGTTGAGATAGGGTGCATTCCCATTGGTCAGGCAATCCGACTGATGTCATGTTCTGTTGTGCTGATAGTTGCATGGCCTGCCGGCGCTGCTCTTTCACCCAGCTGACAAGATCATCCATATGCCTTACTTTCAATTGGGTGTGCATTGGGATGCATACGTTTCCAGCTATATTTTGCCCCACCTAATCAATTGTGCACATCTGGATTGGGTTGAAGGAGTTTCAGCCCAGTTGCCTCAATATTTCCTCTGATATCAACAAACTCCCTGCAAGCAGTTTCATATACTTTCACAACAGGATGCAAAGGGGAGGGGGGGAATCACCAAAAAGGGAAAATACATTTCACTGGAGGTAAAATTGCACACTCTGCCATTTTATCTCAGCACCAGCACACACATTCACCAAAATAAGTATCGTGGAGTACAAAATAAAACTGTTGTCTTAGATTCTTATAAAAGCCACAGTAGAAGTAAACTAGCCAGCAGTGTATAACACAAAGTGTGTTTTTTAATGAATTCAGGGTGCTAGCCTTTATGTTTAAAGCCTTTCCTGGTTTGGGACTTACAAACCGAGACTGCCACTGCCTCCCTCCCTCCCTTTATGACCCCCTGTGAATTCTCTGCTTCTGGGCTTTCTCTGAGTTCTCACCCAGGACCCCTTAACACCTAGCTCAGATGGCTTTAAACGAGACTGGGCTGTGTATTTCCCTGTTCCTACCTCAGGTAATTAGCTACTGGTGTCAAGGGAACTTGCAGGGATGACATTACATCACTGTATGACTTGCATAAAAGTAAGAAGAAAAGAGATTTGGAACAGTGGCTGCTCATGTTTCCA